CCGGCGACGAGGGGACCATGTACCGGGACCCGGAGGCGGCCAGCCCAGGTAAGCGCGGCCCCGCGCGGCTGGGGCGCCCCGCACCGGCGGGCAGGACGGCGGCAGCTCCGGGCGCCGGCTCCGAGCCCTTGCCCCGGACTGCTGCCCCGCGGAGCTGCACCGACTCCCCTTAGGGTCCTTCCAGCCCCGGGGGGGCGCGAGCTGGAGCGGCAGCAGCTTGGACCCCGGAGCCCCGCAGTCCGGGCACTGCCAGACTGAATGCCCGGCGCCGGCTTCGCAGTGTCCCCGCAAGGACCTCCCCCCCACCCCCAGCAGCCCAAGGACAACGTGCGTGGCGGAGCCAGGAGCCGCTGCCCCCGCGGGAGCAGGGCAGCGCCTTCGGAGGCGCCCCGGGCTCCTTAGCATCGGTGCCCTGGGGGCGCCGGCGAGGAAGGGACCCCAGGGCGAGAACCTCGGGCAGCTTGGGGCCAGGGATGTGGGCATAGGCGAGCGGAGTGGCATCGGCGGTACCAAGTGTGACTTGAGAGGATGCCAGGGGGCAAGTGGAGATCTGGTGCAGCAGCCAGCAAGGAGGTCTCTGGGGGGAGGGGTCTGCAGTAGCGCTGAAGGGGGCGCAGGCGGACCAGAGGGAGGCAGTGCACAGGGTGGTGAGAATCAGGGCTGCAGGGGACAGATATCTAGGCTTGGGGAGGGGGGGAAGCAAAGAACCCCAAACTCACTCCAGTCTTGTGGGGAGAGGGGGGAGGGGCCACGTTCCCCCGCGTTTCTCCCCCCCTGGCGTTTCTCCCCGCCGGGGGAGTGGCCTGTGAGCCCACGTCTGCCTGGCATCCTTGCAGCCCAGGAATCTTTCCTCCTTCTCAGGGGAAATCGTGTTGCCATTTCCTCCTCGGCTCTCAACGCCTCCTCACCCTGTGCCCACCTGTAGGCAGGTCCCCACAGCTCCTGCGCTGGCTAAGTCCCAGCTCCCACGTGGGGTGCCCCACCCCAGGCCCAGAACCCTCAGGTGGCCAGCTCTGGCATCAGGGTCTCTGTCTCAGGTCTTCTTATGGACACAGACACAAGACACCCCAGCCTGAGGAATTTGCTCCCACGTGAGCCTAGTGCTGTGGACCTCCTGAGGGTGGGGTGCTGGGGAGACGGGAAGGACCTGGAGCCCCTCAAACTCTTGAGGGCAGTCCATGGGGCGCTGGCTTTGCCTGGTCTTGCCCCAGCCCCATACTGGTCTCTCCCCTCTAGGGGCACCCAGCCTCCACCTGTCCCTGCCTCCTTCAGAGCCTGCTCCCACACCCTGTGGTTCCTTTCAGCCAGAGTTGGTTGAGGACAGACTTGGTCCCAGGAGTTGCACTCACTCCCCACTTGAGTGGAAGGGTGGAAGACTCAGGCCCCTCCCTGGAACCAACCTCCTGAACACACTGAAGGAACATTGCCTTTGGAGAGCCATCCCCTCATCTGTCTGGACCCTGGTTATCTACCCTGGCATCTTCTAGCACTTGGACCACTCTCAGAAACCAGTAACAGTTCAGAGACCAGATCTGGGGTGTCAGCAGAGAAGTGGGGGATGCTGTGAGGGCACTCTCCTCCTACTGCCCTTCCAGGCTGGAAGCCTCCCCCTTCCTATTAGGCCAGTGGGCCGGGGCTCTGCCCTTGACCCCTCTCCTTCCTTCCTCTTCCCTCCCACGCCTGGGAACATGACATCACCAGCCCTCCAAGCACTCTGCCCTCTTCACGGAGGTCAGCTTGATATGTTTGGCATCTTCTAGGCAAAGGCCCGGGGACTCAATGTTGCCTCGGTGGAAACCTTTCCTTCTTGCTCTTCTCACATTGGTCTCCCTGTCTGTCTGGGATGAGGAATTGTCCTGCCCATTCCACCTGCAAATTAGGGGTCCACCGACGTCAAGGGCAGGGGCAGTTCAGCTGGGGAGGCTGCAGGCTTGAGGTTTGCTTCTCTCTGGTGTGGGTGCTTAACCGACTGGAGATAGAAATTGGTTGGAGAGAGGAGTCTGCATTTGATCTTACGCCCCTGGGGACCTTGGGTCAGAGACTTCCCTTTGGTCTCTGCCCATCTCCTATGATCCCTCCAGCTCAAGCCAGACCTCCCTTCCTTTCCGCTCACTCCAGGCCCCTCAAGACCCCTCCCCTCCCCCTGCCATAGCTCTATGTCCCCCATTTCCGCCCCCACTCACTGGCACTAGATGGAAGTGAGATAGGCCATCCAGTTCCTGTTGACTCAGGTCAGTCCCTCCTCTCTCCTCTTGTCCCCCAGGGGCCAGTACCTCTGACTTTCTGACCCCCTCTCCCCACTCCCAGAAACACCTGTGGCCCAACCCCTTCTTCTTTACGTTTTGCCCTCTGCTCTCCCTCATACCCCAGGCTGCTCCAAGGAGTCTCCAAGTGACTCCTGCCTCATCCCACCCGCTCTGCAGATCCCGGCAGGGCACAGTCCGTTGCTGAGACCTACCAGATAGGTGGTGAATGCCGGCTCTTTCCCCTACCGGCCCCTGGCCCCTGGCGCTTTGCTCCCTTATTTATTATGGATGAAGCAAGGGACTATGGGAAAAACTCAAAGCCCAATGAAGAACGCAAACCAGTCCCCCTCCCACACACACCAATGGCTTCTACTCTAAACTCTGCTAGCCTCCCCCAGCCATGCCTGCAGCCTCCCTTGTGCCCCCTCCCTTAGACACACTGCCCTGTCCCTGCCCTCAGCCCTCCTCTGGTCATCCCTTGGCTGGCCTGGTCAGGCCTCCAGTGTCCCTCTGCCAGCCTGTCCGGGGCCAGGCAGGGCCTCAGCAGGCCTGCAGGGGTCAGCGTTGCAGTGGGCAGGCAGGACGGCAGAGGGAGAGGTGACCTTGTGATGAGCTGGTAAGAAGGCCAGCAAGGGACAGGCTGGGCCGGTGCAGCATCGCAGGGGGAGGTAAGGTCCTAGTGGTGGCCTCCCTGCCCTGGGAGCCTACTCCCTGAGGTCAGAAGGCTTGAAGCCTCCCTCTGTCCCACCTGTTAGTGGGCTCTGCCCCTTACAGCAGCTTAGCCAGGCAGTTGGTTCCCAGAGTGTGTGGGGGGCAGAAAGACTTGGCTCACAAGTCAGGAATGGGTGTAAGGGTTTCCATTCTCAAGGCAGAACGGTCCACGAGATTGTCCGGGCCAGACCTCTCCTACTGGTCACAAGTTAGGGACAGAGCTAGCAGCTAGTGTGTGGGGCAGGAGTTAGGGCTATGGCTGAATGGGCAGAGCAGAGGTGTGCCGTGAGGGCCACCAGGCTTAGGGACCAGGGCACTGACTCTTGACCATTTCAGTTCACTGATACTCCTCTCCCCCAACCTGGTCTGCAGAAGCCCAGGCCCCCCTCACCTGAATCCAGGGCTTGGGTCAGAGTCTGAGACCACAGAGCCAATGCTCTGCCAGCAGGCCGTGGCAGGCAAGAGCACCTGGGGCTGGATGGGTCTGAGATGCAGGCCCGTGGTGAGGGTGTTCTGGGAAGCCAGGGCCCTGGTCACCAGCGCCCCCGAGCTGTAGTGTTACCCTGGAGGCAGACCCCCATTGGCCCTAGTTTGTGCTGTTCAGTGACCTTGTGGAAACCAGTGGGCTGGATGCTCAGGGACTAGGGAGTGATGGAGAAGGAGATGGCCCCAAAGCCCTCCTTCCTGGGGGAAAGGGCCCAGAGCAGGCTAGGATGGGGCGGAGTCTACAAGCCAGGTGAAGGTCGGTGAGGAGATAGCTGGCCAGCAGGGGAGCAGATGGGTGTCACATGAGCAAAGACAGGCCCTAGACTACTAGGCCCTGCCCTGGCTGACCGTTAGGGGCATTGAGGTCAAGAAAGAGTGTGGCTGGGGGATGCAGGATGTGGTGAAGGTGAGGAATGAGGCAGAGGAGGGATAGATGGTTCCCCCCATACACTTCCACCCACCCCTTATTCTCTCAGGGACTTTGAATCCTTATTGAATCTTACGGACCATTCTCAAGAACTGCTTCTCCCAGGGGAGTGAGGCTGGGAATAGCGGGGAGAAGAGCTGGTGTGTATGGGGGGGGGCGTTTAAGGGAGGGGTTGGAGGCCCAGGCCTGGCTGGCCGCAGAGGCTGCCCCTCAGAGGCACCGAGGCATCCCAGGTGGGCATGGCCGCCCAAGTGGCGCCGCTCCCCTGCTTGCTGGGCAGTGCCTGGCAGGTGGCACATTCATTCAGCTGGTGAGGTCAGCCCTTCGGTCAGGGCGGTCACTGGCCTGGCCAGGTGCCGGAGCCAGCCTGTGCCAGGGCCAGCCTGGGTGCCTGCCTGCCTTGCCAGGGAACCCCAGCTGGTGGTGCCAGGTGAATTGTGCCAGTTTCATGGACATGAGGTCCCTGACCTTCCAGCAATAGGGGCAGCCCCGCTGGGCCCCGTCCAACTTCTTTCTGAAGGGCAGGGCTCTGGTCTCACCCAGCAAATTCCCTAGGAGCTGGAACCAAGTTGGCAGACAGCATGGGACCTGTGGAAGGGGCTGGACGGCACCCAGAGCCTGTGCCTGGAATCCTGAGCCCACTTGGTGGGGAGGCAGGCTGGCGCCTTGGGCCTGCTCTGGAGGGCGCTCAGCTCCCACCAGGAAGGGCCCCTGGGGAGAGGTGTGTTGCCCATGGGACTGGGCTGGGAGCTGACTTACATGGTGGATGGGATACTTGGGGATGTTTGCGTTCATATGATTGAATGTGCGGGGCTGCAGCACGGTGCCTGGGAAGGTGGGGCCGCGGGGAGCAGCACTGTGCTTCGGTGTGGATGTGTGTGTACCTTCGTGTCCGTGTGGGGCAGGGACGGTGAGGGGCGTGGCATGGGCGGCAGCTGGACAGCTGCAACTGCTGCGTTCATCCGAGTGCCGGACGCTGTAAACAGCAGTTAATGAGTATATTTGTAGCGAGGTGCGTCGAGGTGTGTGGGGAGCTGTGACGGCAAGCGCCGAGGGAGGGTGCCTCCCCTGGGCCTGTGTGCCCAGCTGGGCAGGGCTTGTGCCCTCCAGGGACCCTGCCTGCCCCCGGCCCCGCCTTCCCACCTGCTGCCTCTGAAGCCTCCTGCTGGGAGCCCAGGCTCAGCAGGTGGTGGTGGCCGAGGACGCTGATCTGGGTATTTCCGTGATGGTGTGTGCCGGTTCGTGTGCCTGGGTGTCTGCCTGGGCTCGTCTGTATGTAGCTGTGTCTGGTTCCAGTTTGTGTGTATGCCCCCCGCCCCCTGCCGTGGGAGTGACCCTGACGGTGATAGAACGGGAGGATGCTGGCAGAATTGGTGCGTGAGGCTGGCCTCCTTCTTCAGTGCCCTTCTCTGGGTTGCAGGGGCCGGGGAACTACAGGAGCTGGCTCAGGAGAAAAGGGGTGACCTTGTTCTGCCCACCAGGGAGGATGGAAGGGAGAGGGCTGAGCCCCGGCCCCAGTGGGTGCACTAAGTGAGCCCTTAGCCCTCTGGTTCTGGAGCCCTCAAGAGCCTCTGGCAGGGGAGGGAGGTGCTGAGGGGTCAGTCCTAGTGGGTGGGGGCTGGGCAGTGCTGGTGGT